TTGGAGGGTAGTTGGAGGAGCGGCTGGTACTTACTTTGTTGGCAGCAGCACGCATTTGAACGCGGTAAAACGTCCGCCTCTCAGCCCTGAAGAAGCTACAGGAGGAGCTGCAGAGCTGCTTGGGCCACTGTCCAGCGTCAGTGGCTGTCATCGCCACAGCTGTCAACGTACTTGTAAACGCTGTAGAAATCGCCCAGGGAGTTAATCTTACGCGTGATTATTTTGAAATTGCCCGCCACTGCTGTTTGTCAAGAGCTAGCTGAAGCCCTCCTGAGGTATTCTGCATTTCAGTCCTGCTTTCGTTGTGTGGCTTCATGGCGATCTTCCACAACTTCTCTTGGAGTTCAATCTTGCTGCAATAAACATGTGATAAATGCAGTAGAAAAGTAGCCTGTACTGTTGAGATCGTGTAGCTAATGGAAACTTTAATGTTGGGCGCAGGGGAAACACACGTGTTTCCCAAAGTGGCTTGTGATAACCGGGAATTGTCTGTATGGGCACAAGTAGACCCGGCAGCTGTTACGGAAGAGATGACATAATGTGGGCTTTGAGGGCCGTATGATCAGCAAGTATTTTAGCCTGTTTGGGCTGAAAGGCACTTTGGCAGCAGGTTTCGTAACGCTGTCTTAACTAACTCTGCAGGTGCTCTCACATGTTACAAATAAAAGTCATCCAGAGTTTCTCTCTTTAGCGTTGAGATCTGCCTTGAAATAGGATCTGGATCTGGCGTGGTTTCAACATTTCTAGCTTCTTCCATTATTGGATCCAGCGCACTGTACATGTAAGTATAACAGCACTTACTTAAACTATTGCATCCAATAATAAAGAATACTTAGCCCTCGCCTATATACTTTTCACTTTCACATTTTAAAAACTATTCTTTTCACGAAGAAATACTAGCTCAATTCTGCAGATAGGGAAATCAAAGCAAAGAGAGCCTAAGCTATTTACTTCAGGTTCTGTAACAATTAAGTAGTCATGCGATTAAATTCCATTTTCCTACTTCTTGGACAAATTGCTAAGCTTACTCTTGTGTTTGCTGGGTTGAATCCTAAATTTTAGCCACTGACTAGTCTTACTGAGGTCTGATGACATAACATTAGTTACCTGGGTGTTGGCGGTACCTGAATTTTATTAGAGACTTGTATGCATATATATTTATGCAGAGCTAGCATTGAAAAGCAAATCCTATACTTCAGCTTTCAGACAGTCATTAGAACTTCCAGTGTAGCATTGAGTGGTTTAGCTGCTGATACCTTGTGTGTATTTTACTGGCTACTTTTTGCTATTTACTTGCAAAGTAAAGGATGCTGGGAAGGATATTTTCACCGAGAGGACATAAATTAGCATGTGGTTCACAGGTTTAAACTTCCAGCTACAGCAGCCAGTAACTTACACTTTGTAATATTTTGCTTTTAGATGTACAGATATCAACCCGATGGCAGCTTACTGTACACTGGAGACAGCTCTGCTTAACAACGTTCACCTTCAGCCAGTCATTACTGACTTGGTAAGATAGATGTTTCAAGAATATCTTCTTCATATCTTTTGCAATTTTTTAATACTTATTACAGATACTGAAAAGTAACCATAAAGTCTGGAACAAACTTTCTCTTAATAAGCACGGATGAAAAAAAGAAAACAACAAAATGCCAAAGTGTTTCTGAAAGAAGGGAAAAACAAACTACTCAAGCTCTAAAATTCAAATTTAAGCTTTAAAAATTAATTGAATTAATTTTAAAAATAAATTATGTAGATATAGTTTGGAAAATGCTGCACAAGGAACTCTGCAGTGACCTCACATTATCATAGCCCTTCCTCTAATGCTGTGCAGTTCTTGGTTCTCAACTCTTTCTGATTTAATTAAAAACAGTGTATGCCGTTACCTTTTGCTTCTTACAAAATTTGATATGGAAAAAAGCTTAAGTTTCTCATCTCTTTAGCAAGGCATTTATTTAAAATATCCTGAATATATATGTTGATAAAAGATGATGAAGACAGGCAACAATAAACGTGATCTAAAATGAACAACTGCTCATACTTGAGAACTGAACTGCAGTTGTCACAGATTGGTCATTTTGGGTAACCGATGATAACTTCAAAATTCTTTTATAGCTAACTTAAATTCTGAACTCAGCAAGAATAAAGTACTACCTTTGTGTCCGCGTATGTGTCTCTTGCTCTTCTACATCCCAAACATAACGTAGTCTTAAGACTACTGAAATTGTTCTGCTATGCACGGGTACTTCTGCTTGATGCTTCTCTTGCATATAGAAAGTAAAGTTTAGTGTTCCTGAGTCAGGCTGAAATGCGTGGAATATCCAGCACTATATAACTGTATTTTCACAAAATGTTTGCATTCTTTATGTTTCCAAAAAAACCCCAAAAGAATCATCAACTTCATCTATAGGTCAAAGGACTGTCTCCAAGATTAAATGGGAAGGTTGATCTACTGCTATTTAATCCACCGTACGTGGTAACACCTTCTGAAGAGGTAGGAAAAATTTGAAATACACAATAAAAACGGTATTTCTACTGTCAGAGGAGAGATGGCAAACCAAATAAGCTCCGGTATGAAAACTGCAGGGTTTTTCTGAAATAGAAAAGGATGTTGTAGGACCAGCACTGTTGTAACAGCACTTGTAACAGCACTGTTTTAGTGAAAATGATTTACTAGAGCTGCTTTTAAAGACTACATGGGAATAAGGATTGCCAGCTGCTGCTTCTCAATACCTAGTTTCTCCATCAAGTATAAACCACGTAAGACTTCTGTTAGGCATGCTAAGGTGTTCTTATAGAAGACTTTCAATGGAAAACGTGTTTGTTCCCTGCAAAATAAATATCCTCTGCTTCCCCAGACTCCCGACTCTCAGAATTGGACCCAGGAACACTTAAAGGTTTTACTGGCCACCTTGCATTTGGCAAACAAGCTTATAAAACACTACAGGAAAATACATACAAAACACGTGACAAAACAACTCTTTTAATTCAGTTTAAGAATAGAACTTGAAACAAAAGTAGTATGTACATCGTGTAGGAAGTAGTTTTGAAGTAATTTTGCTGCATAAACTAATCTGCTGAATCAAAGTTGTCAGATTTCTAATGGCAGACACCTAAAGGTAGAGATTATGGTGATGTTTTTCTTAAAAGTACACTTCTATCATTCTGTATTAAGACAATTTTTATTTCCATTCTTCCCAGGTGGAAAGCCACGGAATAGAGGCATCCTGGGCTGGTGGCAAAAAGGGCAGAGAAGTAATGGATAGAGTTTTTCCATTAGTACCAGAACTACTTTCGCCAGGAGGATTATTCTACTTGGTCACAATTAAAGAAAATAATCCAGGTGATCACTTTCCTTGGACACTTACATGTGCCAAACCAGATTTAACACTGGTTAATCAATCCAAATGTTGATCATAGCAATGTTCTGCAGGTTACCAGACTTCAGTAAACAAGAAAAAGTAGTACATAACATCAGTTGAATCTAACATGAGGCGATAGCAACTAATGGAAGATCGACAGCATGTACTGAAATTCATATAGGTGTTCTAGGTCATTTTTAGAAATGCTGCAGACAGCTAGAGCGTATCTGCATGCTTCATATGAACCATGGCATCTCTCTGGACTCCTGTGCTTCTCATCTTTCAAGTTTGTGTGGGTGTTTAGACACACACCCGAGAGGGACTTCTACATAACCTGATGCCTCTTGGAATCCTTTTTCTGAATTCATGCCTTGTGCATCCAGTGTATAGTGAGCTAGACCAAAAATATAAGCAAATTTACCAAAACTAAGAACTCTCTAGGCTAGTTTGGAACATGGCAATACATAGGTCCTGAACCCAGCAGCTCTGCAAGACTTCGGTTCCAAGTCTGAAAGGTGAACTGTAAATCTTCTGAACTAAGTAACAAAGTCAGGCCAACCCTTTTTCATGAAAGAGGATGGCACTGTGAACTTAAAAGGCAAAAGCCTTTAGTTGGAAATGTGAGGTCTTTCATTCTGACATGTGTAGAGGAAAGATTCAAACTTGCTCCTTCCGATCTAATGCTTAATGGCTATACGTTATCAAGTAGTTTCAAGAAGAAAGATTATGCTTTCACACCTGATGGATTAGGCAGCTTTTGGGAGAAGGTGCTACAAATTTCAGTTTCTCCTACAAACTAGCTTCATAATTGAATTGTTCATTGCTATTAATAATACCAAAATACAGAACTTCTGTTAGTAAATCGTTAACTTTATTTGTTCTTGGTAGAAGGCTACTTTGCATAAAAATTACTGTCTAAAAGAGTAAGAGGACACAGTTTATCATCTTTGCTTTACAGCTTACGTTCAGTGGATACTTTAGCACTGCCTCTTATAGCCGATTTCTAGATAAACTCTGTTGTAACACTGCACTTTCAATTACAGATGAAATCCTGGAAACAATGAAGAAATGTGGCTTAGAAGGCACAAGAGTACTTTCCAGGCAAGCGGGACAAGAGATGCTTACTATCCTCAAATTTAGGAAGTCTTGATAACTGCTCTTACTAGGCATGCAGAAAGTTGAACGCAGAGCACTGAAGTTGTCAAATCAATTTTTAAGCCAAGATTTTCACCCTCTTAAGGTGCATCCTCATTTCCCGATTACTGCAGTGAAACTGATCAAGACTATTTTTATTCTGGACGTTAACCAGCTATTATCTGTTGTCAGAGGTACGGTTGTCCTCTGGCTCTCCACAGCACAGATGTGAGGGAACTGTGAAATACCCTACCTTGTTGCATTTGCACTTAAGCACTAAAGACTTTTTCCTCTATGAATAAGTATTTGTATATTTGTCATTGTGGCTTATTAAAACAATGTACTTGATATAATTCTTCCTGTTTCAATAGCCAGTCTATACCTATGCTGGGTTTAAGTGAATATTTGGAATCAGTGTTACACATTTTGACGTAGTATCAGGCACTCTTGCGGAGTTTGTTTCTGTGGTAAGGAAACAGCATACTTCTGAACAGAAAGATGCAGTAACTGTATCTCAAGAGCTGCGACAAAGGCAAGCTATTACTCTCCTGAAGTCTTCTGGGCAAAATATTGTAGTGATTTTGCTCCCTTTTATGCCATTTTACAGGGAGGGTACTACTACGGAGATGTAGATTAGATGAAGAGTTCTCATCCATGAAAAGGTATTAAGGGGGGGAAAAAAAAAACATATGCTATTAAAAAGGCTAGGTAGCTGAAAACAACGACTGTAAGTAGAGAAGTGGAACAAAAGTCCTTTCTCAAAGTCACTGTCCAAAATAGGAAGCTATTTCCTGACTACCAGACCCTGATGAAGAGCTTTCCTCTGCAGCTTCCTCCCTCTCCCGGTGCCCACAGAAGGTTCCAATACTGCATTGTCCCAGTGGCGTTAGAGACGCGTGCTGTGCAGTGGGCACAGGCCTGTGAAGAAGATGTTTTGCTCACACACAGCACCGCTAGCCCTGTCTGAGAGAATATTTTCAAAGAAACTGACTTTTAAGGGTTTGTGTCAACAGAAACTTAAAGTGATGTTAACGATAAACCATTAGGGGACTAAGGCCCAAGGGTTTTTTTGTAGGATGCTGAGGCACTAAAAAGACTATTCCATGTAAGACTTCAGAACTAAACTTACGGACTCTGTACTTACCCAACTTGTACAAATATTAAGAGTTCTTCCATGTTTCGATCTGACCACCCAAAAAACTTCTCTAGGAGATTGAAAAAAGGAGTTTTTGGACAGGCAGAATAACACATAAGAAGGGTAGGTACCATTTTCAGAAACACGTGACTGCAAGCCTAGCTAGACCACTTGAGGTATTTTACCACAATGGAATGTGAGAAGCTGCTTTTAACTGATACAGGTCAAAAGTCAACGTACGGTGGGCTGGCATAAAAGTTGTTCCTTATACCATCCTGAAGAAAACACAAAAAGGATTGGATAGCAGGAAGTGTGCAGTGGTGATTGATTGTTTTACCTCCCAAGAGTCACCATTCCCCAGCTTCGAAGGCTACTGAAGAGCAACACTGCAATTCAGTTCAACAATTCAAACACAGCTAATCCATCCCCCTTCAGTAACTTTTCTGTCACTTTGTTTTTATATAGATAAACATGAATAGGAACGCAAACACGCAGTAGGAGGGTTTAGAGGGAAGACTCAGTCATGTTAAGGATGTTACGTGACATTTATGCTATATACAAGAAATTCTAGTACTTGAAAGTACTGAGCGTAAAAAAACGTGTTTCATTGACCAAAGTGAGGCTAGACTCGAGACTTTGTTGATTCTTACCTTCTGAATAACTTGTCTAAGGAATGTTTTGAGAAACTGAGAGGAAACTTTGTGGCCATCTATGAAATAACGTGTTTCCACAGTTTTCCATTGAAGAATTTAAGCAAAGTTTTGTCCTTGCAGCCTACCAACTAGCCAGTTCTGAGAAGTCGTATTTCAATTCGACTGCCTCCTACTTCTAGAACCTTTTTGAGTTGATGGCAGACCCTTTGCAAAGCCACGCTTCTTTTTGGTTCAGTTTTCCCTTACAAAAAAACGTAAGGAGAGGAGGTTTTATGCTTAGTGATTTTGCTTTTATGTAGTCATGGTTTTTGAGGTTATAATTACAGCCGTAGGGCTGTTTGAATGAACCAAAATGCTGTCATCCTTAGACCGCTCTGGGAGTTTTACGTTGTTAACCGCTTTCGCTAACAAAGTTAGGTTGCTGAGTTACAACATCAAAAGACAATTTTAAGGTGTAGTCAAAACATGTAAAAGAATCAAACTGCAAGTTTAACAAAAGGAAGTTTTAGTTAATCTGTCTAGCTTTTAATTGTAACTAAAGAATTAGTTTTAGAAGAGGTAACCAAAGATAAAGAAGGGCAGTCACCTGGCACGGAAGATCACAGTGCTCAACAGCGTATGCAGTTTTAAATTATAAAGGACAGAATAATGAGAATCAGAACAGAAAGTGTAATAAAACATAACATGCTTTCAACAAAAAACGATTGCATTGGACTGTCCAACAACTGGATATTTGGACAAGAAAATGTGTGTCCACTTCACTACATCATGAGTCAATTCTCCTGGCCACACTGTATTGCTGTCTGCTGCAACTTTAGCAGAAGCACTTGTCAAAATGCAATCCAAGTAAGAACACAGGCGAGTTCTGCAAGAACCGATTCCTATTCTGCTACCATCATCCTGGTGAAGACTGGGAACTAGGGACAGGCCAGGTAACTTTTATTTTTTTTTTTAATTTTGAAACTTGCTATGTCTACACAGAGGTCTGCACGTCCACTTAGCATTTGCTAGGGCACACCTATTCCCTTCTCCTAGAAGACCAAAGAACGCAACACTGTTTCTGGAGAGTTTTGGAGGCGTGCTGCTGCATTCAGCGCACATGAGAATAAGCCGCATGGTAGATACACTTTCTTTGCAGTACCAAGAAGAAAGCAAAAATTCTGCTCCCCCAGGCCCCTAGGCACTGCTCTGTCAGCAAGCACCAGTGTGAAAAGACATACTGCTGCTTCGCAAGCGCTTGCGCTTCTTTGTTCTAACAGAACCAAGACAAAAGCTCTCCACAAGGCTGTTTGTAGCAGACAATTTGCAAGTTAGGGTCTGCTAGAAGAGTTTAAGATGTCTCTTTTCAAGCAATACCTGGTTAACCACAACTAGCCTTCAGATCAGTTATTGAACTTGCAAATAAGTCATTTAGAATAACCAGTCTTGTCTGAAACAAAGTGATGCAACGGAGACAATCCTAGAGGTTTAGTATCAGTGATTAGGAAAACAATACAGCTTGCTCCTTAATCTGTGTTTTCAATTAGACCTTTTCAATACCAGTTTTAAATCCTTTCCACTCTCTCTCAAAAAATGTCAGGAAATCTCTCTTCTGGAAGCCCGGTGTTACCTGTTAAAAATATAGACTTAAGTTATCAACAGCTAAAAATAATTTCTAGAGCTGTCACCTCAAAAGGGACCAACTTTGAGAAAACATACAGAATCTAAAAAAAAAAACCAAACCAGCTGTTGAGGTACAGCCAATTGAGTACGCTATAAACTTGGCATCTGAAAATTTATACTATTAATTTCTGAAAGTATTACACAGAGGAAGAGACAGCAATCCAGAGACTACAGAGATTGACAGAAGTCATTTATTCCTCCCTTTTTATTGACTGTTCAAAGAAACCCACCACAAATCCCATCCAAGTTAGAATATATTGGTATGCTACTGCTGTTAAAAAAAAAAGCATGAAAAACTGTATAGTTGAAGACAATATTAAATTCTGATACATCTGTCATGTTCACTTAGAGTCATTATGATGGGACAGTGGAAGTACAGTGTACATACAGTGATAGTTAATTTGCCAGCTAATGAAGACAGTAACTGAAATAATGAAAACAAGAATTGATCAGTGTGTATGCCTCCTCCTTAAAAGCCAATCGTCACTAAGTAGGTAGTGTTTTTCATTGTCATGCAGGAATGACTGTACTCTCTCCACTTATTTGGGCTTCCGAGTTTTCATGTTTTTAGGGTGCTGGATGACTGAGGTTTTTTGGGAAAACGGAACTGTTAACGGTGAAAGCTCAGTTTATAAACATGTTAATTTAGAGCACGCTATGTTTAAATTTTATGCTTTAACAGAAGGTTATCACTCTAGTTCCATGCCTTAATGTCTAACAGCAACAACATTCATAATAGTTCCTCTTATGGGGAAAAAAGAATGCACTATAATAAAAAAATCAAGTCTTTATACCACCTATGTTAAATTTACCTGTTACATTAAGAGGCATGATCTGGGTTAAGTGCATAACACCATGTTAGAATATACCTAAAGTAAGAGGTTTTAATCAACTATGCTGTGGCTTAAACACCACTTTTCAGACATAACTCTGCATTATTTCTGAATTTTTAACATATCTCAATACCTTAAAAATATACAAATTAAAATAAATTATTATTATATTTCTTTATATCAAAGAAGAATCTTCAAACTTACAAAAAACAGTCCAGAGGTAAATATGTGTCATATCCCACTAGTCAAGAATTTAAAGTAACTGACATTATTCCAAGCTAGCTTCTTTCAACATACAGTTTATTGTCTCCCTGTCATTTATTACTTAGCTCACAGAAAGAAGACAGACCGTTTTAGTTCAGAAAAATGTCTCTCGACAGAGTGGACAGGTGGATTTGTTGCTGGATGTGAACCATTTGTACTGAAAGAGAAATAGAACTATTTAATATAGGAATGCAAGCTGAATTTCAGGAACACTGGTTTATCACCAATAATAACCATTATTTGCCAATGAATATAACTATCAAAACACTAACTGTACATAAAAAAAACCAACAGGAAACAGTAAAAAACCCCTTTCTACTTGTGTATGTATACACACACATATGCATACACACATTACACACACACACACACACACACACACACAATACTCAAGTTTTATTCTAATAAAAAAAACACAAAGGAATTCTCATCCAGTCTCATTTTAGAATAAAAAGATAGCGTTTTTAAAGCAGCAATAATTCCTCCGTTGTATGGCCATACAGATGCCAACCTGTTCCAGTATACTCTGCAACCACAGAACCAATGCCTATGATGACCTGGATATAGTTAAATGTTAATTATCCAGATCAGCATAGTTTACTAAAGAACGTGCTGCATAAATTTAAATTTAACCTTTTCTATTTCCGTATCTGAGCTGATAACGAGACGATGCTGTTGCTACACCCTACGTAGATGTAATGGCTTATGTCTTAGTGAACACAAAACGGATAGTTGTTATCTGTGAAGTGTAGCAACCCCTCTCTCATTACATGCCCTTACAGCTTAGTACAAAATCCG